CCCTTCATCACTGGTTTCCCACTGCCTGTGAACAATGTCTGAGGTTTTTAACGTTGCCTGAAAGGTCAGCCTGTACTTCTCTGCCCTGGCTCTCCACACGGGCCATTTGACTTCATGCAGCTGTTCACACTTACCCAGGCCAGGCGTCACACTTATTTCACACATTTGGGGCCTGGAATATTCGCACCACCTGGATCTCCTCTTTTTCATTAGGGTGTCATTTATGCACCACTTCCTCGAAAGCTTCCCTTTAACTCTCTGGACAAGGAGAGGCTCTCTTGTTATTGTCTCCCAATGCAGCTTATGCATGGCATCCAGGCTCCACAGCGCTTGCTACACTCATGTTTGATTATCTGCAAGTATTAGTTTAACGCTTATATTCCATGACTGGAAGTCGGCTAAACTAAACATTATGCTTGTTTTCACCTATGTAATCCAGCATTCATCAAATAGAGACTCTTGATGAAAATATCAATCTATTACACTTTATATAAACTAGATTGATTGAAAGTCTTCATTGTAAGCAAAAATTATGTTTTCAATTATTTGAATCTCCATATTTGTACTGAACTATGTCTTTCCTTGTTTTTGTTATTTGTTAAAGTTACCTTTTCACTTTCAATAAGTCTCCTAACAGTTAATGGAAAAGTTTGTATTTAATTTTTCATTAATTAGTATGCTTGGCAGATTTACATTTAAGCCCTCCTGTTTCTAATACGTTTATACTAATAAAAAAATTTCTAAGAAGTAAAAGAAGAAATATTGATATTATGAATGGTCAAAATCTGATATTTACTCCTTTCTTCAAGTCAGTGTATGACTTTTTGGTAGAAAAATATTCTAATTTCTGCAGAAATAGCAAAACACTACAATACTTTGCATCAGCTCTAGAGTCTAGAAATAAAACCAGCAGAGGAAGCATAAGAACATAAAACTAGTTTCTTAAGTCCCCTTAGATTAGTAAATGCTATGTCAGAGCCTCTGAGTATACCTATTAGCTGATTCCATCACAACCCACATTTTTATGATCTTCTGTACTATAGCAGAGTGACGGGGGAATGTTATGGCTCTGCACACGGACCAAAAACTTGTCTGCTTCTGAGTTTGGATCTGGACTGACAAGAACTCCAAGATCACTTTATAATGGATCTGGGTTTATCTTAAGGTCTTTGTTTGTGGGATAGGGGAGGGAGGAGATGAATAAATCCTTACAAAACCCCCTTTTCCAGAATTGTGTCTGCCCGAGTTTGGGACCCCTCGGGGGCCAAAATGGGCCTACTACACAGGGGGAGCTCGGTAACATGTTTGGACCACCATGGACTTTCTTAGGCATCCTAGCTTTAAATGAGTTGTGCTATAGCCAGACTGGCAATGGGTAGATACTACTGTTCAGGAATAATAGCAAGTTAAATATGTGACCTGCTACATTTGCCTTCATGTTAGTTAGTGACCTTCTGGGGCCATATTCTGCCTTCCTCAAAGACACTTCATGATAAAAATCATATGAAAATGCTTTAAACATTTTGAGAAAGACAAGATATAATGTCAAGGTACCATTTTATATTAGAACTAACTCACAATACATGAAACCCTTGGGCCACATCTGGTTTACCATATAGCAGTAAGCAGCAGCTACTTACCTTTTTTCTGACCTGAAGGCAGCAATACAGAATTCAGAGCACTCCTAACAGCCACCATATGGTGAACACCTAACTACTAAAGAGCCAAAAGGTCAGGCTCAACACCACCTCCACCTAAACCAAATCTGGGAGTTAGCCCGCCCATTATGGCTGCTGAGTTCACCCCTAAATTTTTACCTTGCTTTCACATTACCACATTTCTAGGTATTAGCTTTCCAATTACACTCTCTACTCACTGTCAGAACAATCTTTTAAATTTGATCAAATTAACATATTTGCTTTTAAAAACTCTTTAATGGTCCATACAAGAAGGAACTGATGAATGCATAAATAACTGGAACAAACAGATGTTTCTCTCTCTCTCTCTTCCTCTCTCTAAAATCAATAAAACAAAAAACCCCAAATACCTCTTTAATGGTGTCTCACTGACATGCCCTCAATGATCTGAACTGACTCTCACTTCCTTTCTGGCTGCCCCTACTTCATACTCAGAGTTCTAGCTCAAAAGAGTTACTAGGTGTTCCCAAGAGAGCCACACTCTTGCAAATCTCCATGCCTTGGACCATGCGAATTTTTTTCCTGCCTAGATTGTTCTTCTTACTCTTCTGTGAATTCAACACTTACTAGTACTCCTCCCCCAAAAATCTAAACTCAAACCACATCTTCCCTGGGGAGGTCTTCCCCGACTAACTCCCACTTGCATCCAAACTGGTGCCCATTCTTTGTTCTCGGAGACACTTCGGGCCTGCTTCTCCACTGTTCTTACCACCATGCACTAGAATTACTGGTTTAACTTTTGTCTCTCTCACTGGGCTGTAAGAAATTTTAGGACAGCGACTGTGCCTTTTAATTCTGTGACTGAGAACAGTGCCTGAGATCAACCAGAGAGCTCACAGGTGTAAAGAGACAAGGGTCCAGGGCAGAAACCACAGAGAAACAAAGGAGGAGAAAGAGCAGTTGGAGATGCAGAAGAAAACTGGAAGATAGCACGTGTCACAGAAGCCAAAGGAGGTCAGTTACACGCAGGAAGGAATCACAACGTAAAATGAGCCGCTGAAGGTTTAAGTAGGGCATAGTTTAAACCATGTCCACTGGACTTAGCAACCAGCAGGCCATTGGCTGGCTACCTTGGGGAGAGCAGTTTGAGTGGAGTGATGAGACGAACAAATTGCAGGTAGCTGAAAAGGAAATGGGAGATGAAGAATTTGAAGCAGCTAGGAAAAGGATATTCTTTTAAAGCATTGCTATTTGCTATAACATGAAGATTATGCTAAATGAAATAAGCCAGTCAGAAAACAAATACTATGATTCTATTCACAGGAGGAATGGTAGTAGTCAAATTCATAGACAACAGAAAGCAGCATGGTGTTTGCCAGGGCCTGGGGGAAAGAGGGGAGTTAGTGTTTAATGGGTACAAAGTTTCCATTTTGCAAGACGAAAAATGTTCTAGATGGTGGGGTGATAGTTGCAAAAAAGTGTGGATGTATTTAATGCCATTGAACTGCACAGTAAAAAATGATTAAAATTGTAAACTTAAGATTAGGTATAGTTTACCACAATTTTTTAAGAAGAGAAAAAACATTGCTATTAAAGACATCACCACAACAGGACATGGAATGAGAGGATTTTTGTTTGTTTTTACCTGAGAGGCAAGAAACCTTAGCATGTTAATAAATTGAGAAAGAGTGAGTTAGTCAAAGGGGAGAGAAGGGAATGACTTTGGTGCTGAGACCCTGAGGAGACTGAGCGTAGGGCCAGAGGACAGCAGGTTCCTGCTCCAGGCAGAAGAATGGGTGGGCACAACAAAAATTTTTTTTAAGTTTCTATCTATTTTTCTTTGAAGGAAGCGGCTGGAATGGGAGGGAGTGGGGGCTGAGGGAGAGTGGGGAAGGTCTGAGGAAGCTGTTAAGGGGAATGGTAGGAGTGTGCTGAGGACCAGTAATCATGTGCAGAGGTTAAGAGGCAGTTCCTGACTCTGCACTGGGATGATGGGCTAAGACTCCCAGCATAACTTGCAGCTGGGTCCTGACCCAGTTAGTGGCTGACAGCACAAGGAGAGAGTGTGGATAGTGAGTGAATCATGGACAAAATTTACAGAGGAAGAACAAAGGGGCCCTGAGCTGAGCATGTTGGGAAGCACATGGTTAAAAGGGCTACATTGGGAAGGAAGAAAAGATGGGCTGGAAACATAGGGTAATGAGAGATCAAGGAGCAGACTTCTCAACAAGGGGAAGAGCAAGTGGAGTTGGAATAAGGGTTTAGGGAAGCAACAGATTAGGAGACTGAAGTTAGCAGTGAAACATAGAAGTTTAAGATTCATGAGGTGGGAGAGTTCTGGATCCCTACCAGGCCAGGATTGGCCAGGGTATAAGTGGCTAAAAAGAGTAATCCAATCAGAGAGAATTGAGTCCTAGCCACAGGGGATATGTTTCTGTGTATCTTTCCTCCCAAACGTAAGGATAATTCAGATGATCTTTTAAGAATCTTTTTCTCTGGGTTCAATTTTCTCCCATTCCTTTTCTTCCCTTTAGGAAATCCCTTATGACCTACGTACTATCCCTTTTTACACCCTCATTCACCTACTTTTGTTCTTATATGATGCCTAAATTCAATATTAACCTTGTTGTGTACTCAACCACGGGTGTAATCTGCAGAAGATAAAGCCCATCAAAAACCATGAAAACAGGCAGTGACTTATTTTCCAAGGTTAACATCACACATTAAAAATACTAGTAAAAAATTAATCATCATCACCTATTCAAGACTTTCAAAGGCTGTGTGTATATTTTACATTAACTTGTTTAAATGACTCTGAGCAGGCTAGTAACATAAAGGGAGTCTTGGGTTTTAAATGGGAAAGAGCTCAAAAGGAAGGGAAGTTAAAGAACTTTTACCTTTTCATACAACCTGGTTACCTATGATGAACATATTTTTCATTTCACTTGTCTTGGAAGTGGGAGTCAGTCTTGCCCGCCATCTCCTAGATCCAATGATGGCAAGGACAGACTGAAGCAGCAACTGTCCTTAGCTCTCGGGGATTTCTGCAGTTGCCACATAGGCTCAAACAATGTCTCATTAACATGTGCCAACACGGGCTCTCTCTGGGGCAATATGACAAAGAACCAAATCACTAACATTTTCAAAATAGATTGAGTCTTCTTTTGTTTGTATTGATGGTGAAAATTTTTGACATTATATTCTAATGAACCATTCTGAAATCAGTTAAGTGTATCATGGGTATCTTTGTATAAGCCCAAAGTATACCCTGTCACATTCACATCTTATCTGAAACCAGGACATGCAGCACATGTAAGCTCCCTAAGAGAGCAAGTGGCACATGGATTTTGCTTTCAGTCCCACCTGTATGTCCTCTGAATGTTGTGACCAGGGTGCAGTTTTCTTGCTCCAGCTTGAGGATGGTTACTTGGCCCGAATGATCGCCAATAAACACATGCCGGGTTTCAACATCGAATCTATCATATAAGCATTAAGGATTTTTCTCAAATGAGTGGAGGGATTTATAAAAACAATAAATGTAAGAAAGATACAAAAGTGGACATAACAAATGAAAAGACAGTATTAGTGGACAGTGAGACTCAACATGATAAAGATGTCAATTCTCACATGAATTTATAAATTTAATATAATTCTTATAAAAATATTAACATGTTTTCTTCCTAGAGTTAGATATGTTGATTCTCAAGAAAAACAAATAAGCAAGAAAAGCCAGGAATATTCTGAAAATAACAGTAATATGGCATGTGATGGGGAAGGCTAGCCCTATCAGATATTAAAACGTGTTATAAAATTTCTTTAATTAAAAGTGTGGCACAGATGCATAATTGACAAATGGACCACTGGAACAGAACAGAAAGTCTAGAAACAGACCTAAAAGCATAGAGAAATTTGTTACGTGTCTACTAAAGGTGGCTCTTCAACTAATAAAGATGGATTTTTTTTTTTAAAGGATACTGACACAAACTGAATAGTCATTTGGAAAAATTAAATAGGATTTGTATTTCACATTACATACCAGGACAAATTCCATATGAATTAGAGATCTCAATGTAAAAATTTTTAAAAATATGAAAGGTCTAGATGGAAGAGTTCCTTTATAACCCTAGTGGAAAAAGCTATTACTATCAAAAACACAAACAACAAATACAATAAGTAAGGCTAAAAGACCAATGGAAAAAAAACATATTTGCAAATTAAGTCACAAAAGGCCCAAATCTCTAATATATAAAAAGAGTAATCAAGAAAAAAACCATAAGCCTAGTAGAAAAGTGGGGAAAATATATGAATAGTTCAAGAAATGAAAATGTTGCTATGCAAAAACACATTAACCTAGCAGGTCTGACTACTATCCTTTGAAAGGTTGTCTAAAAGGCTGACATGGCATCTGTGAACTTGGATTTTAGGAGGATTTCCGCCACTAACAGACAAGAGTGGCTAACTGTGCCTTAACTGCACAAACAATATGGTTTATGACAAACACCCACTTTCCTTGTGGGAGTCTGAAAGTTTGGTACATGCCACGCAGAGGCTGCCTATGTGACCAGTAAAAGTCGAAGGTGCTGAGTCTCTAGTGAGATTTCCTGGTTGATAATGCCTAGCAATAATCCTACCTCTAGAGAGCTGTCCGGGAATACACTGGCAAAAATACAAGACACATGACGGAGGCTATTCACCCTGCATTATGGTAACAACTGAAGTTTGAAAACAACGCAAAAGCCCATGAAACTGGGTCTTATTAATTTAACTATGACATATCCATGCAGAGGGAGGAAAAAAAGACCTCCATAAGCAAACTGACATGGAGTAACTTTCAGGATATATTATTAAGTGTGTGTGGGGGGGTTATATGCTTTACTACCTTTGCGTAAAAAAGGGAGAAAATATAAATATAAGTGTGTGTGTGCTCATATTTAGAAAAGAAAACCCTGGAAGGATAAATCAAGATCTAACAAAAATGGCTGCCTATGGAGAAGGGAGAAGCAAGTTGAGGGGGCAGAAATGAGAATGAGACTTCTCTCTTGTTATAGAGTTTCCATTTTATAATCTTGTAATTCTTTTACACATTAAAAATACTTATAAAATTAAAAAATCCCCCAAATTGACAATATTGTAAAATGAATGAACCTAATTATCAAATTGGTGATATAACCATGTAGTTAACACAATTATTTCAAGTGACTTCAAAGCACAGCATTTTGACTGTGCATTTTTTGTAGAACATATTTAAGGACAATGAGAAATGCAAAGAAATCTAAAAACTTATCCAGTAGTCTTGTTATTACAATATTACTATTATTATTTTGAAATATTATATGCGTTGATAATTTATTATTTTTTAAAAAATACACATACATATATTTTCTAGCTATCTCTAAATACTATTCCTCACTAAAAGAAGTGGCTGATTGCAGGAGTGGAATGGGAAGGTATAAGATTAACTTAAGACAGTTGTGCCAAAAAGCAAGGAAACGATCAGAAGCTATGGGGATATAAAAAAAACACAGGGATGAATCATGTCTTATTGGCCTAGCTCTAAATCCAAATCACTTATAAGTTTAGTTTCACTTTAGTTGAAAACTTCAATAACCTTCCCTCCCAGGCTCTTTACCTTGGTCCTCTCTCCTTTCATCTCCCAATATGCTCTATAGCTGGGAAGAGGGGGAAGGCAAAATCTTTTTTAATTTTCTTTGACTTGGCCATTTTGAATTCACTTAGCTGCTGGGTAAACTTAATTGCTTTTTACAAAAGAAAAATGTCTATGTAGGTTTCATGATAACAATGCTTTAAGAGCTGGTGAAAGGTGTGGCCACACTACTTCGGTTTTAAGCTTTCTACCTTATTTTCCTCCTACATTCCCCTTTCCTCACATGCCATCCAGTGAGAAGACCTGCCCCTCAGTCTTGTAAATGTACCTGAGAGGTAGGAGCAGAACCACTGTCTCCACTAAAACTGAAATGGTAGACCTGTAAATGTGGGAAAACTATACTCGTTACAGCCATGCCACCCCTTGTTGTATGTGTATATATAATACTTTGTCCTTCATCTGTAAAAGACCCAATGTTGGAATTCTTTGGTGTAAATAAACGTTTGGTTTTATTTATCAAGAAAAAAAAAGACACAGGAACCAATATGATGGGGCTTTTACTGGCCAAAGGTGGGACAATAAGAGCATTAAAAAAAACCAATTTATTGAAATATAATGAATATATTGTTTAAAAGACAAACAAAACCTAAGAGTTTATAAGAGTCCCACTCAACAAAAGCTATTTGGAAGAGGGCTGAAATAAAATTATAGTACAACCTCAAAGCCAGAGTGATTGGCATTAAATATGACATGAGGAAATATGAAAACCAAGATAACCATGGTAGCTTTTCAGTACTCGTTCCCAGAATAGGAACAGATCTAAGAGACTACTTGGTGGAAAGACATTTCACTACATAGGGTGACATCTTGAAAATATCTCCGACATGAACAGAATGTTAAAATGAAGAGTATCTGAATTATTTTGTGGAAAATATGATTTTAAAAAAAGGCCAAATGACAGGACTGAAAGGTGAGGCTGGATAGAGTATTGACAAATTTATGGACTAGGAAGTGGGGAGGGAAACAGCTCTACTTCCTAACTTCAGCTGCCATGGGACTTCTGAGAAACAGCTCCATTCTACAGTATCCGGTTATGCAGAGAAGTAGCTAAAAGATTATCAAACTCAAATTCTATTCCTGGTTCTCAGGTAACAACAGTTATGTGACCTCGGAGAGTCACGTAAGCTACCTGAGCCTCTCTGAGCCTTTAGTTTCAACACTATGAAAATTGGGAATTAGTTCTTTTTTGTTTTTACTTTACCTTACTGTATTCATGGTGAACAAAGTAACATTAAATAGAAACACTATAGCCGAAACCGGTTTGGCTCAGTGGATAGAGCGTCGGCCTGCGGCATGAAAGGTCCCAGGTTCGATTCCGGTCAGGGGCATGTGCCTGGGTTGCGGGCACATCCCCAGTAGGAGATGTGCAGGAGGCGGCTGATCGATGTTTCTCTCCCATCGATGTTTCTAACTCTCTATCTCTCTCCCTTCCTCTCTGTAAAAAATCAATAAAATATTTAAAAAAAAAAAATAGAAACACTATATAAGCCCTCAGAGACTACAAATGTAATTATTCTTTTTCTATCCTTCTCTGCATTATTATTAGTATTTAGACTGTTCAATATCTGAAGATTCAGATCTTTAGCCAACACAATCAAAGATTTTGAGGTTATTCAGAAAGAATTCAATTTGTAAACTGGTCAGTCTCTGTCTTCCCTTACTTCATTGCATATTTACTCTCCACTAAGAGGCCTAAAAGAAGAGAGACTCTGGCAAGGGCAGCACTGTATGCCATCAATGTGCAGCACTGGAAAATTATCAGGAATGTATATGTTCCTAGGAGTAAGAGCTGGCTGGCACTGTGGCTCCAAAATTGGAGCTAGAGAGGCAGAGCTAGTGGAGGTAATGGAATCTTCTCCAAGGGCCTGTCTGTAGTACTGCAATTCCCCTCCACCTTAATAGCAAGATTAGACTGGATAGTCGTGGATACTGGGAAATGAAGCCACAGGCTTTCACACACACACACACACACACACACACACACACTTTGCTTGATAAAACCACATGATTGTGGCCAAAGGAAACAGTCAAAAAATAAGGGACAAAAACTACCAAAGTCAAGTCAAGTTTAACTCTGTGTTTTTGTGTTTCATTTTCAAATAGTTTAAAAAGTAAACTCGCCCTGGCTGGAGTGGCTTGGTTGAGCATCATCCCATGCACTGATTCCCAGTCAGGTTGCAGCTCAATCCCCAATAGGGGGTGTAAAGGAGGCGGTGGATAGATGTTTCTCTCTCACATCGATGTTTCTCTTTCCTTTCCCCTCCCTTTCTCTCTAAAATCAATAAAAAAACTTCTTAAGGGCAAGATCTTTATATTTCTCTACTTCTTGATTTGGTTAGTGATATAGAAGATAAATCACTAGGTGTGGCTAGTAATAGAGAAGCCAGCATATTAAGAACAAATTACATTGGTGCCATTAGTTCTGTTCTCAAAAGAGTAATGCAGTATGATAGGGAAAACAGCAGTCCAAGCAGAATCTAGGTTCTAGCGGTGGTTTTCCTACATCCCAGCTGGGTGGCCACACACAGGGCCCATGACGATTCCTGGGCTCCAGCCGACTCATCTGGGAAACAAGGCATTGGACTGGAAGGTCTCAGGCCCTTTCAGCTCCAACGTTATAAGAAATCATTAATGTACTGGCAAGAGAATTCATGCAAATTCATTTACTTTAAAAAGTAAACTTTGGAATTTCTTTTATTAACAGGTGGTACCACCCTCTCAAAGAAAAGTTGATTCTGTTCTTCATTTCTTACTGTCCTTGCTTCTGGTCGTCTTGGTAATTTGCCATTTTACAACCTTCTACAAAAGCCATTCTTAATTTCTTCATCTTGTCCTTCCAGTGAGGAAAAAAAAGTGACATTACCCCATACACACAAAAATACAGCTACTGCAAAGAAACAGTAAAGTATTTCTTCAGACTGTTGAGAATTGCTGAATAAGCAAGTTTACAAATAAGGTGGAAAATCTGAAAGCAAATCTTACTATTTCTTCCTACTTTCACTGACAAGTTATCTGTTCCCACCTATTTTCTTATTTGCCAGAAGGTGAAGGGAGTTCTGCATCTTTTAAATCAAAGGCAGGGTCTTTGCAACAGTAGCATTATCCAAACTTATTAAGCCTGTGCTTGCTGGAGGCCAGATGTGAGGATTACTCAGCATTAGCAGGTGTTCATACTGAGCACATGGCTCCTGGAGACTTGGAGATAGAAATAATACCATTCTACATATCCTGGAAAAGTCTTGGACCTGGAACAAAGCCTGTAGATACCAGCTGACCTACTCAAGTCCTGGAACAGTAACCTCTCTAATATTTTTTAAATGAATAGGGATACTGTGGTTCTTCTGCCAGGCACCAATGGGCATGTTCACAACCTTAGTATCTATGTGTAAATTAGTTCTGTACAAAAATAAAAGACTGTTTTTCAGTGATGGTTTTATCCTCATGTTTTGCAATTGCTTGTGACAGCTGAGACTCACAATCTGGACTGTGTTCTAGCTAGATGTCAGGCTTTGGATCATAGTAGACCACAACCTACGTATTTTAGGTGAAATAAGCTCAGTTTACCCCTCCTACATGAGGAATTGTTCATTAGAAAAGTCTATGAGTATCTTAATCAGCAGGGTAAGTTAGCAAATAAAAAAACTTCCAAGTTGCACATCCCCCAAATTTTCTTGAAAGAAATAAGTCAGCAACTAAGTTCCCACCAAGGAATTTTCTCCAGCAAAGGATACTGCAGGCCCGAGGCCACAGCACTGGTGCGATAACCTCCCAGGCGTTGCCCACTCTCAGAGCAGTGCCAGGCAAACTGCTTGTCTTGTCCCGTGCTCAGCACCCACTCCAGCTCCAGGACAAACAGGATCATCGTCACTCTGCTCTGATGTGCTGAAAACCAAGAGGCAAGAAAACAACCCATAAAGTACCCTAAAGGAGGCTGGTAAAGCATGGCCCACAGAGATGTACCGTTCTCTTCTCCCCTCCCAGAACAAGCTAACACAGGCAGGAGAGGGGTTCTCAGCTGCAGTGAGGGCATGCCACTATGAAGGGGCACATCCGAGTTCTTATAGATGAAGTCTGGGTTATAAATCTACAACAAAGTTCTAGATCAACTGTCTGTAAGAAATCAAACACTTGGAATGGAGGGCAGAATTAGGTCCAAGTGCTAAATAAAAGTGAATGAAATATCCCTTATGTCAAAGTACATACATGTGATGAGAACATATTTCCTAGGGTTGCTCATACACAAGAGCAACAACATCATAGAATTATTGCACCGCACAACTTCAGAGTTAGAAGAAACCACTCATGTCATTTACTCCATCTCCCTGAGGAACTGCGGTACAATACAGTTCAGTATTTTGGTCAAGGCCTAGTGGCTTCACAATTACCAAATAAAATCAGTAAAATATTTGCTTTCTTCTGAATATACAATTCCAGGGGGTAAGGAAGAGGGAGCTGTGGCCACTGAACAGAGCTACCTGGAATAAACAGAGATTAACATCCTGGAACCTGGGCCTGCTGGGTCGTCTGGTGAGCGGAGCAGACTGATCACAGGCGTGATGCAGTGATGGAGAAGACAGCAGATTCCCACTCTGGTCAGCTGCCAGTTTCTGTGTGTCTAACAAGTACCAGGTACTTAAAGCCATTATCTCAGTTATAGTGACCCTGCAAGAGTGGGGGGCTGCCTCATTTTACAGACATTACTTGGCCTTGGCAAGATGGCCCTTTCAGATTGACTCCCAAACAATACACTCAGAACCAGAGTGAATACCCACAGGACAGTCATTTCACCAAATGCCTGATGTTTTAAAATTTGGTATTTGAATCATGAGAATCAAAGGGATACAAAAAAGGTATAGAAGCAATATTACAACTTCTCTACAGTAAATGTCTGCCTTTCAGAGTATCTGCCACAATCAAGATAAAACATCTTTAACTAAAAGAGTGACTTCCTGGAGAAACTCTGAAGATTTGTCATGTCTGTGTCATCAGATGTCTAAGTTCCACCAATAATGGGATAAAAGAAAACTCTCTAATGCAGCGGACGCCAACCTTTCGGACCTCACGGACCAACTGGTTGGCAACCACTGCTCTAATGGGTCCAATTGTACCCGCGTCTATTTTAGGCAGAACATGGCTCCCAGCACTTTGCCCCTTTTTCTCATGAAGGGACCTCTGACCTCCTATTTATTACTTTCTAAGTCCAAGGGGATGACAGTGGCCCACAAGATAAGGGGGGTGGGGGGAAAGGGGAGATGTTAGCCCTCTGAGCTGCCATCATGTGCCAGAGGAGAAAGAGTTCAGTGACTTGTTCAAAGGTAGACAACCAATGAGTGACAAAGCTGGAATTAAAACCCTAGTCTCTCGGCCAGGCTGGCTTTCTTTCTCTGTGTCAGGCTACGACTCTGAAAAAGAAACAAAAAACAAACCCCCACACATACTCTTTTTAGGGTGACAGAATTCTTTTATTCAAAAAGAAATCCTTTAAAGGTCCATACATATCATTAAGCTTCAGAAACCTGGGCTTGAAGCCTATACTTCTTGAATGGCAGTGGTGAGAAAGGACATCTTTGCCTTGATCCTGATTTGAAGGGAAAGCATCTATTTTCTCACAAGTATGATGTTAACTATAGGTTTGTGGTTTTTTTTGTCCATGTCTCCTTATCAAGTTGAGGAAGTTTCCCTCTATTCATAATTTGCTGAAAGTTTTTTTTTTTTAATCATGAATGGATGTCAGATTTTATCAAATGCTTTTTCTGCATCAGTTGATATGACCATACGATTTTTTCTTCTTTAGCCTTTTGATGGAATGGATTACACTAATTTTCAAATGCTGAATCAGCCTTGAATATCTGGAATAAATCCTACTTGGTCATGGTATATAATTCTCTTTATATATTATTGAATTTATTAATGTTTTTTTGAGGATTTTACATCTAAGTTCTTGTGAGATACTGGGACTGTAGTCTTCCTTTCTTGCAATGTCTTTGGTTTTGGTATCACTGATCGATTTAAAAAATGTTTATTGAGATAAATTTCACATAATATAGAATTCGCCATTTAAACCATTCAGTGGTCTGTAGTATATTAACAATGTTGTATAGTCATCATGAAAAATTTTCCAGAACATCACCCTCAGCCCTAAAATAAACCCATATCCTCAAATTCCCCTTCTCCCATATCTGGAAAACCATTAATTTCCTATTTTTTATTATTTCATATAGATGCAATCATACAATGTGTGGTCTTTTGTGTTTAGTTTCTTTCTATTAGCATGGTTTCAAGGTCATCCATGTTATAGCATGTATCAGTACTTCATTCCTATTTTTATGGCCAAATAATAATTCGTTGTATCAATATACCACATTTTATTTATCCATTCATCCACTGATGAAAATTTAGGCTGTTTTTACTTTTTGGCTATTATAAATAATGTTGCTATGAATATTTGTGTACAGGTTTTGGTGTGAATACATGCTTTCAATTCTCTTGAGTACACAGGAGTGGGCAAAAGTAGTTTACAGTTGTAAGTACACAAAACAGAGTTTATTCTTGTATTATTATTTATCAATCACTGTATTATTTATTACGAACAACTATAAACCTACTTTTGCCAACCCCTGTATAACTAGGAGTATAAATACTATGTTACAAGGTAACTCTATTTTTAATTCTTTCAGAAACTGACAAACTATTTACCAAAGTGGCTACACCATTTTACATTCCCACCAGCAGTGTATAAGGGTCCCAATTTTTCCACATCTTTGTCAACACTAGTTCCCCCTTCACCTTATTTGAGAGGAATTAATATTTATGCACCGATGAACTATGTTTCAGGTATTGTACTAAAACTTTTATATATGCAATCTCTTTTTTATTATGGTAAAACAAAACATAAAATTTGCCATTTTAACCATGTTTAAGTGTACAATGCTGTGGCATTAAATACATTTACATTATTGTATAAACATTACCACCATCCACTCTCCAGAACTTTCTCATATTCCCAAACAGAAACTCTGTACCCATTAAGCACTAATTCCCCATTTACCTCCCCCAGCCCCTGGCAACCACCATTCTACTTCCTGCCTTTAAAGTTTGACTACTACCTCATATAAGTGATATCACACAATATTTGTCTTTTTGTGACTGGCTTATTTCACTTAGCATATGTCTTCAAGATTCATCCATGTTGTAGTGCATGTCAAAATTCCTTTATATGTATGCAGCACATTTTCTTCCACTGTTTGGATATTATGAATAATGCTGCTATGCACATGGTTATACAAATATCTGTTTGAGTCCTTGTTTTCATTTCTTTGGGTGTAAACCTGGGAAAACCTCACTTGGTTGTGATGTACTATCCTTTTTATATATAGATGAATTTGATTTGCTAACATTTTGGTTAGATTTCTTCCATCTATTTTCATGGAGGATGTTGGTCTGCAGATTTCTTAAACTGTCTCTGTTTAGTTTTAGTATCAGATAATGCTGAATTCATAAAATGAGTTAAAAAGTCTTTTATTTCTTCAATTTCTCAGAGTTTGTATTGTTTCTTCCTTGTTTGGCAAAATTTACCAGTAAAGACATCTGGGCCAGGAGTTTGTTTACCTTGTGGGACGATTTTAATCATAGAGTCAATTTCTTTACTAGCTATAGCACTATTAGGATTATCTTTTTCTTCTTGAGTGACTATAGCAGTTTGTACTTTAAAAGATTTGTTCATTTCATGTAAGTTGTAAAATTTATTAGCATAAAGTTGTTAATAATATTCCTTATTTTCCTTTAAATACCTCTAGAATCTATAATAAAATCACTTCTCTCATTCCTAATATTGGTAACTTGCATTGTCTCTATCTCTCTGGTAAGTCACCATGATCAGCAAACCATGGCTCGCAAGCCACATGTGGCTCTTTGGCCCCTTGAGTGTGGCTCTTCCACAAAATACCACCTGTGGGCACGCACGTACAGTGCGATTGAAACTTCATGGCCCATGCGCAGAAGTCAGTATTTTGTGGAAGAGCTGGAATTTTGTGGAAGAGCCACACTCAAGGGGCCAAAGAGCTGCATTTGGCTCACGAGCCACAGTTTGCTGAGCCGCAGTTTGCCAACCACTGGACTAGAGATTTATCACTTTTATTGATCTTCTCAAAACAACAACAAAACACAGCTTAGCTTTGCCTCATTTACTGCAAGGATGAAAACCATTCTCAGCAATCCAACTGTCCACATTTCAGAAAATGTCACCATCACTCTGAAGGGATATACAGTTATTGTGAAGGGCCCCAGAGACACCCTGTGGAGGGACTTCAATCACATCAATGCAGAACTCAGTCTCCTTGGAAGGAAAAAGAAGAGGCTCTGGACTGACAAATGGTGGGCAAACAGAAAGGACCTGGCCACCATTTGCACTATTTGCGGTCAGGGACAGAACATGATCATGGTCTTCCGTTACAAGATGAGGTCTGTGTATACTCACTTCCCCATCAACATTGTTATTCAGGAGAATGGTTTTCTTGTTGAAATAAGAAATTTCTTAGGTGAAAAATATAACCACAGGGTTCAGATGAGGTCAGGCATTGCTTGGTCAATCTCTCAAGCCCAGAATGATGAGTTAATACTTGAAGGAAACGATACTGAACTTGTATGAAATTCAGCTGTTTTGATTGAGCAAGCTACAACAGTTAAAACAAGGATATCAGAAAACTTTTGGATGATATGTACATTTCTGAAAAAGGAACAGTTCAGTAGGCTGATGAATAAGATCTAAGTTGTCCAGCTACAGCACCAGCAAGATGCCGAATGATTCCGCAGACTTATTTGTGATATTTATCAATTGATTTTTAGAGAGAGTGGAAGGGAGGGGGAGAGAGAGAGAGAGAGAG